CAGTTAATCTTCTAAAATCTGCTTATCACCTTTAAAAATCAGCGAGGATAATACGCCCAGTGTTTGGAAAACAATTCAGGGCTGATTAACTATCTTAAATAAACTGTTTTTTGTCAGGTTTCGGAAATTACGCACAAGAATGCACAAAATTACGCACGACTTGCAAACCAATATGGAATGGTTTGTTTTGTAATTTGTTGACATACAGATAATATACGTACTCTGATGACCATAACATGATAAATGATAACACAATCTGAATTTCTTATGTGGAGTAATTCGATATTTTGTCAGACGTTATACGCAAGCGTTTCCCTTTGATGGTATTTTTTCCTTATTTGGTCAAATCTTGTCTGCTGTAACTCTAGTCTTGTCGGAAAAAGTGTTAGGCTATGTGCATGCCGGGGGACAATCAGGTGACGGACGTAATCGTCCTTAAGTTTCTAAAAAAAATATTAAAATTGATTTGTGGTTATAACTACGATAAGTCCGAATTCAGCGTGTATTTAAAACATTTATTTCAACTGAGACGAAGCGCGCACTAGCTGGTTCTTCTCGCAGCGGGGGGTCAAAATGCATTATTTTAGTTTGCGCTGGCCTTGCACAGGAGTGGTTCGGTATGTGGACCCAAAATAGAAGCTCTGAGCTTTACGCTATAGAGTCAGATATCGTTGAAAAGCCTGCTCAAACACTTAGGACTAATGTTTACTTTGCCGTCTGAGCTGCAGAGTTTTCCATGCTTTTCTTCAGAACCAGACCTTTAAATACATCAAAAACTGCACAGAAAAATATTGATATCCATATAGAAAAACAAGTATAGCCCAGGGTATACTCCAAGTGCTCTGAACCGATACTGGACTAACCTGAACAGGTGACATATCATTTTCCCATCTTGTATATAATTGTAAGTGCCTTAAGCAGACATCGCAGGATGTGCAGCTCTATGCTACATACTTGACCTTCAGTGAATGCATTAGGGCCCAAGCGTCGGCCTCGAAAGGATAGTCCATCTCCAAAATACTAAACATTTAAGAAGAATACACTATATGAGGTAGGAAGCAAAAAAAAAAAAGAGAGATGAATCAACCCAGCCAAACATTGAAAAATGCGAATGGGAAAGTGAGATTAAATAATAGTGTGCAACTATTACTGAGCAAAATATCAGGTCAGGCGCTGACAGATGTACATATTCTTTACATTGCTTCTATGTTATCGCGCGATTTCGAAAATATAAGATGAAAAACCAATGATGGTAACCTAAACAAGAACAACAAAATGAAAACAATTGCCTACTGACTTCCAATCTCGACCTCTATCAATTTTGAAATTCTAAGATGTTTCTCCTTTCTTTCCATCAGAGACAACTGGTCTAAGAGGATTCCGACTCTTCAAGGCAGCAATGAAACCTTCACACCCCGCATTAAGGGTTGTTGGACACGCGATGCTATTGAAAAACAAATTGATAAGACAGTACATTCCAGAAAAATTGAGCTCATAAAGAACTCATTTCAGATCATGTCAAAATCAATATATAACAGTTCTGAAAGGAGTGAAAACGATATGGATCTTTTATGTTAAGCATTCTATCTATCCTCTCTTTTCTCTATCACATTAACACTCTCCTTGAAAACACACTCACACACTCACACACACTCTACACTCCCCCACATACACTTCAGTAGGAATAACATTGCTTTCTATTTCTCCAGCCAGCTTCGTACCATAAACGGCAGAGGGGTGGCGGGGGACGCAGACCACATGCCATACAAGTTCTCTGCGAAGGGCACTGTGAAGCTCACTGACCTTTGGGACGCGGAGACAGGCCGCCATAAACAGATTTAGCCAGTCTCAAAGTCAAACGTGCTCAAGAGCAGTGAAAGACCTATTGTAAAGACCTGCAAAGCCAACTGAGATTTCATCCTGTTTTACAATGCAAATATCTTGAGGTTCTCCGCAATGGCGACGTTTTCTTTCTTTTCTTTTTGATTCCTAATTATATCCTGCAGAGATGGAATTATACTAAATTAGAATGAAGCCAAGGCAAATAAGTGCAAACTAATATTAGCTGCTATGCAGTGATCATTTTTAGGTTTTGAGGAGAATGGATGGCAGGTAAAGGACGAAGTGCAATGTTTGGTGTTTTGTTGGACGTGGAAAGCTCTTAAAAAGGTTTCTAGGACAATTTTATTTGTCACAAGGAAAAGCTAAATTAAGGGTAGAAACACCTGAATAAATAGGCTACACAGACAACAGACACATAACAGCAACAGATACGTCTGGTTTGAAGTTCAAGTTAAAACTACATGTTCAGATATCCGTTTAAGGAGCTGACTGCTCTCTGCTATTCAGTCCAAATAATCCCAACGTTTTACACAGGAAACACAAACCACTGTTTACATCATTTAATCTTGGTAAGAAACAAACAGGATTCGCGCTGTGCTCAGTGTTGAGAGTCATTTTGATGTTTACACCAATGTTCTCTTTGACAAAATGCATTTGTATTAACATATTATGCAAAATGTCACTGCTGTAATTTTCAGTTTTGCATTTTCCTCAGTTAACTGAACACCAATCTACTGCATTTCTTTTTGTTACAAATCACCGATCCTGGTTAAGATCTATTTTCTCCTGCTCTCTTTTCCATATCACCAGATTGTTTTGCGTATTTTTACAAGCTCAAAGGCATATAAAACCAGAAATATAAATAATGGAACCCAATTAACTTCTTACAATTGTTGATGTTTAAATTTCAACAGAGCGTACATGGACATGGTTTCCTGGAGCCTTTTAAGGGATATAGACAATATTTGTAACATAATTGACCTTGAAGATTTTTTTTTTAACAAATAATGGCTGAGGTACTACAGGACTGTCAGGGGCGTCATGGTGCATTTTGCATCTATTATTCTCCTCTAACCCATTTAACAAGGCAACACACAAACATAAGACACTAGTCTAGTCTAATCTCCTTTCATGGTCAACGGCGCGTTTGATAGGCTAAAAAGATTGGAGCTGTTATGAATGATGTCCTCTGGGTTATCAAATTCAATACACGCTATTGCAGATCTGCCCAGTATTATTTCGTGGTCTTAGTTATTATCACATTGCAGCAAACACTTGGTACACTTACTGATTATGTTTTGCATTAGACTGGCGCCACTTCAAAACTAATACTCATTTCTTAAAACATACATGGACATATGGATGATGTCAGTGCGTAAAAGAGTGCATATCAAAACAGTACGCCTGTATCTCTCTTATTACACGGAGAAAACAATTCAAATTTAGATACCAGTCAGTCTTACAAACTCCATGTTCAAATTCTAGGAAGTCATTTAATTGAAATTATTCGTAAAACCACCTTTAATCGGAAGCGCAAATGTACATGGAGAGCATTTTTCCAAAACATAAAACCAGCGGATTCCATATAATTATATCTAGTCTCATTATATATTCAAACATTACCATTTTAGTTAATTAAATGATTAACTTAAAATATTTACAGGGGTAATTTTGGAAACCAGCATTTTCATAATTATTCTTCTTAATATCTGCAAACTGACGCATTGTGTCATAGCGCGTCCAGACGGCCCTTTTCTCTCTTTACATGTATGTATGCATACAATACATAAAAATATATATTATGCATTAATGTTGATGAATACATAACATGGGTATTTGTAGCTTAACTGTGGAAATTGGAAGTTTGTAGTGAGGTGAACAGGGACAAATATCAGAGGCTTTGTGAGCTGCTGAGGAATCATTACAGTATAGCTACAATGCAATAGAAGAGTTTAGTACTGCAGCGAGGCTTTTATCAGCTCAAAGCTACATATGTCTTGTTATAATTACACTAAATCTTAATTTATAAATGTTCAAGCTTGCAGTTAGTACCAGCACCAAGAGGATTGCGTTTATTAATGAGCCCACGTCATCTTACACGTGTGTATTTGTGTTGTGATCATGGACAGACTAACACAGGAAGGCCGCTCCTGCAACCAGCGTCCGTTCACAGTTCACCGAAATGGCAACATCTGATCTCAACACTGAGACAGCACAACAGAAACAGTTTCCATTGGACCTACTTCACCCAGCTGAGACTGGAAGCTGTTGAGGACAGAAGCATTAATGCTTGGTTAGTTAGAAAACACTGCACAGTCCTGCATTGCTTTACACTTCCTTGCCAGTAGGGAGAGCCTTGTGGATTTTTAGATATGGGTTTATGATACAACCGTCACTGTCGTTTGTATCCCATTTGAGAAAGATTTTTTTTCTGATCTGAGTGCATGTAGCTCTCCAAAAACCATGTTTTGATATGTAATTATCGAGCATTTAAATCCATAATGCAAACCAGAAGATGGGATGCGCACAGGGAAAAGGACTGGCCAAGAGGCTTGACTATATGGAGCACTGGGGTGTAACCCTATTACTGCTTTACAGAGCTATTGCGTGTTTAGCTGCGCCCTTATAGGCTTGTAGCATAGCAGTGACATTGATTAGGTCGAACTTCAAGGGAAACCACAAAGCTCCAGAAAAAATGTGAAAGGGTTATTTATTTTTTGTGCCTTGAACTAATATAGTTGTATAGCATTTGTAGTGTACCATGCTACTACAAAATAGGTATAATATTCTATGTAAAATGGAGTTTAGAGTATAATCTGGCCGCCATTTTGCATAGAATGCTATCATACCTACCTATAGCCATACCTTTGTATCTGAGCGGCCATAATAAAACATAGGCCATCCTGTGTGGGCTCCTATTGATTATAGTTCACAGCATGTACAATTATGCGCCAACAAAACACCCTCTCAAATGCTTCCAAATGTCCCATTAATGTTCAGATCTTTATTTCACTGCGGTGGTGGACACATGTATTTTTAAACTGTGTTACAGGTCACGTCTAATAAAATAATCCCAACCAGTCAGCACTGAGAAAACCTGATTTTAAAGCAGAACATTCAGAGAGCCAACCTAATGACAGACTGAGGTAACACCCATAAACGTTTCAATATTCTGTTTATTGAAGACCTTACGCATATACATTCATATCATTATTACTTTTACAAGACAACGTAGCAATCCTTACAAGCGCAAAGAAGGGAATGCAATGAGGGGAAAAAAAGGACGATAACAAACAACTATTACACTGAAACAGGGTTTCTTTAAACGTCATGTATGGTAAAAATTTCTTGCATATCATTTCTTATATCCATTCTTGGCAGTATAATAGGCCTACATTTCCAACCCTCACAACCACAAATAGGCTATATGGAATGCGATATTGTACAAGACGATCAATAACATAAAGCACTATTACATAGCGATAAGGGATCCTCAAATAGTAACATATGTAATTTCATTTTACAAAGTTATACACGAGTACAAGGTAAGGAAAGGGACAACACTGAGCACATTGCAATTAGCAAGTACATTAAGTAGGCCCTTCGTCCGTCAATCCTAATAATAATAAAATAATAATAATAATAATAATAATAATAATAATAATAATAATACATTCTTTGTAGACGTTTGTGTCAAAAATGTTTAGGTGGAGATTCCTTTTGATTTATTCAGGAAAAACAATGTATAAAAAAGTCACTTACATAAAAAGTGGCCCGCAAAACATGACTTATAGCTATTTCACATCAATAACATGCTGCAAATACATTTCACTGCTATAGCTTACTCGTTATACATGACAGATGATGCACTGCACTCCCCCCTCGAATTAAGGGAGCACACACGTAGGCCTATGATTAACTTATCTAAATTTCTACATATTTATTTTCATTATGAGCACCAAGTTTCAGAAATGCTCGTGTAGGCCTAAAAACTTATCCCCCCCCAGTTGCAACTTTAGGCGGCTCCCTTGTTTAACCAAGTTGGCCTAAAAAAAATCTACTTGTACTGGTTTAAATGTTCCACTACAGATCCAAGCGAGTTTATTGTAGAATACACGATTTTTTTTAAATTAATTTTCTTTAAAACTGGCACTATCTGGACGTGGACTTTTAATAGCAGCTCAAACCCGTATTCAAACGGTGATCTCACTCAACTAAAGAATTGCAACCCATGCAGGATCCTGTGGTTGTTGTTAAGACAAGTTGAAAGGTAAGAAAAGTAATTTAAAAAAAAAAAACCTTTAGAAACTCGTTAGCACATGAACAAAGATAGGGATATCGATATGGATTACATTGCGGTTTTAGTCCCCCCTCTCCTCATGCAGACTTCCAGACTTCCTGCCCGTGACCGTGAACGTGCCCACAAACGCCTGGTGAAAAAACTAAAAGAAAGGAAGATAAGGTGATGTTCCTCTTACCCACACATTATGGCTGTTGGAAGTTTTTGAGCAACCGGGAGGGAGATGCTTCTTTATCAGTTCATAACCTCAGAGAAATTATTGCGCGTATGAAGCCTGCCAGTCAGTCTTTGCTGTCCTTCCTGACTCCACTGTTATTTTTAGGCCTATTTTTTGAGATTTTACCAAGTGACCCCGATCACTCCTCGTTCTCTCTGACTAAAAATGGAACAAAAAGGATGTTATTATGTGTCATCCCAAAACTGAGCTATTGCCCTGACGACACCCTTCGCGTGGCTGACATTTAGGGCGTAGACTGATCTCCTGACAAATCAGGAAAAACAAGAGATGCAGCCTACACAGAAAAACATATCCTCACAGCTTTTTTGTGCGACAACACCAAACATGAAGACAGTCTTATTGACATGTAGAATATAGCTTTGTATGCCAGGTAGTGGCTTGTTTTTGGGCTCGTTTAGCCTGCACCTTTGAGAAATAAAAATATCAGAAAATGTTGTAATAATCGCCTGCAGTGTAAAAGATGGACAGATGAGTGCATGCATTGAAAAGAAGACCAAGGGGAACGTAGAAGGCTTGGCTTTTACTGCCTATCGATTCACCTTCTGCCGCATCTTTAAAAGTAGGCCAAAGCTTGCTCCCTCAGCATGAGTCTCTTCTTCTTCATCCTGCGGTTCTGGAACCAGATCTTGACTTGTTGGTCGCTGAGGTTCAGGCGGTCGGAGAGCTCCCTCCGCCGCTGCCTGGTGATGAACTCATTCATCATGAATTCACCTTCTAGCTCAGCCAGCTGAAGTTTGGAATACGGTTTACGCTTCTTTCTGGTCCGAGTGTGCATCGGGTACCACGGGGCAGCTGGAGGAGAGGGGGGAGGAGGAGGAGGAGGAGGGGGCATACAACGGATTAGTCACCACAGTTGCAAAATCACGGTCACCTCCAAGGTTATGAGGAGCCTATAGGGGCATCAGTTGTCCAAGGCAAGCTTGGGTAATTGCCCTACTGTACTCTAAGTTGATTTGACATACATTTAAGCTTTATTCCGGAGAGGAACCAGAAGTGAAATTACATTACAATGATAAGGCACTTAGTTTTCCAAAATATGGTAGCCGCTCTGCAAATCTAGAGGATGTTTCTATGTTTTGCAAAAGATCCAAGATGTAGTGATTCTGCTTTATATTAGAATTAAGAGAACTGACGCCCCTGGAAGCTGTCACTTCACACACACAGAGACACACACACACACAGCAAAACTGGATTTGTTTTGGTCTCTGCCTGGACTGCATGGGCATATCTCATCTCAAATCCAATTTCAGAAGCACAATAACTTGTCAAATTTTGCGCAATTTTTAATCATATTTTCTATTTTTCAACGGCCCTATAAAGACCACCAGTATACAGCGGTTTGTGACACAGGAAGTTTTATTGTTGCAGTTAAAGTAGCATTAACGTGATAATTAAGCCATGCTTGCAAATACCCCTACTTATTTGCGAGTTTCAGAGCATATTAAATGACTCTTGAGTACACAGCGACAGATATTAATTCTGTTTACGAGTCATTAAAAAGAAAACTCACTCTATTCGATGCAGTCAACCAAAGCGCCTCACCTCTTTAAATCACTGCGCTAATTTGTGGCACAAAGTGCAACAATACACCAAAATCAACCACTGGTGTGCCTAAATCGCACTTTCTAGTTTAGTGTATGGAAAAATCAATGACAGGGCTTAACTTCTATTCAAAAGCTGCCTGACAATATGGTTTAGTGGGGTTATCTGTAACTGTACACAACCACATGGCGCGTGAGGTATTTTAGGGCAACCCCTAGCGGCGTTTGCACACCACGCAAGTACCCTGCAGGCTAATGCAGGCTGCACGTTGTGCATCAAGATAACGAGCTCTAATGACAGTGTAATACCACAAGTGTACACTACGTGCAACCTTCTTATTAATAATGTGAACGTGCATTTATAACAATTGTGTTTTTTGTAAAATAATAGCACCCACCTCCGCCTGCAGCTATGTTGCTTGAATGGCTTCCCGGTGACACCAGGGTCTGTGTGTCGCTGGATGAAGGCTTGCTGCCCTCGTTGAGCAGAGAGGAGCTGGAGTCGGACTCCATTGACTGACAGGACGGCGGGTCTTGCGTTAGCTGCTCGGTCCCATAATCATATTTGGAAAAGGCGACAGTGCTGCCTATTCCACTGTGCATCCCGTGGTCAGATGTTAATGATGATGTGTCTCTCGCCCTATCCTCTCTTTTGAGGCTGCTGCCACCTGAACAGGTCTCCCTGTTCCCGTTGCCGTTATTATAATAACATTTACCCTCTTCTGGTCTGGTAATCTCACACGACCGATTGAAAGAAGGGTTAATAGACACGGGGCTGCTAAAGTAGGATTGAGAGTATCCATTGCACGGCTCCGAAGGATTCCACGGGAGGGAGCAAACATTGTCCCTTCTCGGGTAGGAGAGAGACGGTAGCCCCGCCAGTTGTCCCCCTGAGGCTCTAAAATTCGGAAAGTAAAATGTGTCTCCAGTGTGGATGTTTACCAAAGGTCCCACAAACCCTGGATTAAGGAGATTATGCTCGCCCATTTCCGCGGGCCCGACCAACAGCTTCTAGTTTATTGCAATCTGACATTTAACATAGTTAAACCTGGAGGGGCGCCTGATTGGTCATCCCCAAACCACGTGTCCAGGCTAACTTCTGATACACATGGTACCACCCACTCGGTCCATCTCAGACAAAACAAAACATTAACTTCTGTATTACAGAGGTTTATATGCTTTTTAAAAATACTATAAACCTTTTATTAAAAATGTAGAATCCTGTTTTTCTTCACTTGAGACATGCTGAGTCCAAAAGGAGCCCAGGCTGCTTCTCCTTTTACACTCGTGGAACTGTCCATGGCCTCGTTTAATATATTTATAAGCTGGCAAAAGTTTTTTTAAATGCTATTTCTTATGAAAACTATTTTTCTTGAAGGAGAGGGTGCATATGACATCTTGTTTTCTAGCAAATTATGGTTGAATTCCATGTCATATAAAGCTGTGATGTCCCAATTTTACAAGCTTGTTTTAAGAAAAGACTGATGCTCATTGCCGCACTCTACTCATATTTACAGTAACGGGGTCAGCAGGTTGAAGCCACTGGCTCTGTAAAAGAGGACGATATTCTACAAGGTTACTTTAAGAGGGTATATTTCACATAATATTCTCTAGTACACCTCACATGAACAACTTTAACAGATACCTCCAATAAACGTTCGCAGCCAAACTCTGGTGGGATTGTTATACCTCTCACAATTCTTTTATATGAATTTTACAAGATATCAGAGGACACTTAACTGATTCAACCAGCCGAGAGTCTCTCTACTTTATATCTCGCTAATTAGTTGATTTGTAGATGCAACTCTTAAGACAGAGAACAAATATGGGATGTGTCACACTGCAGTGATCTGACAAAAAAAGGCCTCATTTTTCTTGAGAACAAAACACACTTTCAGAGACTCCAGCGAAGTGCACTTTTTCTGCATAAAACTTTGCTATGATATGCACATGATTCAAGCTTTCTGCCAACAGCTGGCGCAAGAATTTCTAATGTGGTTTTTGGTCATCAAGCTGCCCAACCATCATCCCCAAACATATATTCTTGTGACTGACCTATGCCTTTCGCATTCCTCTCCCGAGTCTACACACTCCTCATTAACTGAAAAATAAATCTAGGTAGACTTTCCATTCGTTTATAGATTTCTATATAATATCAGCAACAATTTTGGAAATCCCTCTTTCCCTTTATAAATTCATAATTTACCACCAACCCCACTCTCGAAGGAAGGCAAAATCAATTTATGGATGTTAAAAGTTGTAATAACTCAGCAGTGGGGAGCTGCTTATGTCTCAATAATGGTAGTTAAAATAAGTCTAACTACTTCCAAGGACAAATAATTTGACTCATCAATGACACTGAATTAGAATAAGAAATAAAATCCTAAATATAACCAAGCACACTACATGTACGCCGCCGTCAATCCACTCAAGTTCACGACGCAGAGTCACGGAGGGTTGAACTTGATATTGAACTCAAATACTCCATTTAAAGGAATAAAAGAAGTAGAAATCAGAATCAATAAAATAGAATACACATATAAACAACCTTTTAGGCCGTGGCAGCTTAAAGTGAGGGCTAACAGCACAGGTCATAAAATTAATGGGAATATATTCTGAGATGCGTCGATTGCTATTTCGCTTCTTTAAAAAGCAACCTATCATCTTCCTTAAGATGGCAGCCTGAAAATAAAATAATTGATAACAGTCCAAAGAATAAAAAAAAACAGAGTGACTTCATTCATTAATAATTCGGATTGTGACGTTAAAGATTAACAAAAAGGGTGCAGGGTTACAGCTGCTTGCACGTGCGCGCTAAACGGCGCTAGTTTGCGTGTTGCAAAATTGCCAATGAAGTGTTATGTGAGAACATTAGCATTCATTTAAACATTGGTTTGGGAACGATTTGCAAGTCAGTCGATATTCGATAGCTGCATCCGTCACTTGTGACCATGTATCCTATCGAACCCCAAAGGCACCGGGCCTTGCTCTAGCCTTAAATAGAAAGACAAATATCAGATGTTTAAACTGGAGAAGCTCTGAGGGATCCGTTGCGGTGTCACTCTGTCCCCTGGACTCATTGCCTCTCCTATCACTGCACATTCTTGCATCTAGTTAGTGAGTCTCGCAATGCAGCAAAGCATCAATCCAATATAATATATTTGTGCCTCAGTCTTATGAGGAGCATTGGAGGGTGTCTTGGTATTCACTTCACGGCTTCTCGTGTTATTATAACAGCTACCAAAAGCAAAACAGTGCAGTGTGATGTTTACAACAAAATGGCCCGGATGGTGATCCAGTGAGAGTAGGCTTAAGACGCCACTTTACCTCGGAGAAAAGAGGCCATGTGTTGCGCCTCCTTGCCTCGTCTCTCCACGCCTCCGATCCAGTTCTCCCACAAATCCGCGTTTCACATTCAAACAACTGCTCGTCTGTTCAGTGCATCTTTAGCTCTGCGATGATGTCATATCTGACCGTGAGCTATAGGTCTTGTGCTCTCATTTAGCAAGAGTGAAAAAAATCTGCTATTTAAAAAGAACTTAAACGGAGCATATAGCACTGTCAAGGTCACTGTCTAGTACACTGTCTGTGCGATATTGAAATTACCCTCCTGGAATCCACTGGTCCTGTCCAGACAGGGCAATAGCCTAAACAAAGGGCTTTTCTTCCCTTTTTCTCTTTGATTCTCTGCAGGCAGGTTGCCACAGTTATAGCCTTGTGCAACCCTTTTAAAGCTTCCTTCAAGGAAAACAAACCACCAAGGGAAGCCTAAAGAAGCCACAAAAGTGGTAACGTTTTAGTTGAAAGGTTTGGCTGATCTTTTTCATTTGTTTACGACATTTAATGCGGCTGTGCTGCATCATCCTTACTATATAAGCTTGGGAAAAATATGTATCCTATTACTTAAAATTGTTAAGGATAGCCTATATCCATTTTGAAATAAAAATACATTATTTAATTTTATATTATATATATATATAGTTTTCATAAGAATCATTTTTAATTTTTTTAAATTAATTAATACCCTGCCAGTCTGTATAATTCATGTAGACTGATGCATATTAAGCATAGCAAAGTAGCATTTATAGTAAAGACTTTGCGTCATTTTCTAGATACAAACATTTGAACTTGAAGCTCACTTTGTTTAAAGTTATAATGCAAAATGACAATGACGTTTTCCTGCTCAAATAAAGAAATATTCAATTTATTTATTAATTTTTCAATTTCATTTGTAATTCTATACCGAACAACTTCAGTAATATACTATTAACTACTAACTAATATATATGTGTGTGTGTGTGTGTGTGTGTGTGTGTGTGTGTGTGTGTGTGTGTGTGTGTTTAAGAGAGAGGGTGTGTGTGTGTGTGTGTGTGTGTGTGTGTGTGTGTGTGTGTGTGTGAGAGAGGGTGTGGGTGTGTGTGTGTCTGTGTGTGAGAGAGGGTGTGTGTGTGTGTGTGTGTGTGTGTGTGTGTGTGTGTGTGTGTGTGTGTGTGTGTGTGTGTGTGTGTGGGAGTGTGGGAGTGTGGGAGTGTGTGGGAGTGTGTGGGAGTGTGTGTGTGTGTGTGTGTGTGTGTGTGTGAGTGTGTGTGTATGAATATGATTAATATGTAATCAAGAAAATCTAATTTAAACTGCACCAGAACTTGATCAATAAATTATTAATTTTCAAACCAAACTTGGCTCACGTCGTCAGTCAGATGGGATTACATTTTAACATAATGGGACTTTTCAAACAACAGTGCTGTCAAACGTGTTTAATATGTCCTCTTCTTTAAATGCAAAAACATCAAAGGAAAATAAACTACTGTCGAACAACGTCCAAGTTTATCTTATACTGTTATACTTTTCTGACATGTAATTTCCAAATAATTGGACGTATTCCAACAGCAGACTTATCCAACTACAAAACAATGCCTTGATTGCATTAATGCAAAATGTATTGTAAACAACAATCCCATAACAAAGCAGCTGAAAACGATTAGGACTCGCATGTCTTCAGCTGTAACTTCTGTATTTGTTGTACCTTCAACAAAAAGCAGGCCTGCAACTTCAACAGCAATAAAAAAAAAACATCTGCAACAAAATCATAATTGTCAACTCAACATTCATAAATACTGTAAAACGCACTGAAAAAAAGTACCAAAACTGAGATACATGAGTCATGGCAATGAAAATGAGTAGCTGAACTAAAATATCCCTAAATTAGAGACAGTTGCAGCACTTCCTGATATTTTCCTCTGGTCACCACCAGAGGTTATCAGCCCCCTGTCTCATGTCTCTGGCTGACAGCGGCCTGCAGCTTTGACGCCTCCACACAACCAAAAACAATGCAACTTTTTCTACATTTTACGCTTTCAGTGTTAAATGAGTGGCTGATAAACGTGCACAGCGTCTAAAAACTTTTAGTTTGGTTTATTATATATTTTGTTTATTTAAGTTTCTGTCTGGTTTAGTGGGTTTATTATGGGTCTTCCTTTGTTCGGCATAGTAAATGTTAATTCCGGCCGACTATTTTACCTATAGGTGACAATTTAAGACATTAAAAATATAACATACATTCGTATTGCAGTGCTCGGCTAACGGAATATAATTCCACATTATCTTCTACAAATGTATAGCCTATACAGCTATTTTGAATATGCGTGTATGGATATTTCTATATGTATCCATTGTGAAATGTGCATTTCAAATACAAGTTAAACATTCATACTATTTTCAAGAGGAAAAATTGTCTCTTTGAATTACACCTACATTTTAATAAATTAATTTGCATATTTTGTCAGTCTTCTATATTATGTTGAGGTTAGCCATGTTATGTGGCAAATACCCGTTCAGCAATTTGATATACTGTTAGACAGCTTTAATATTAATATAATTTCTGTAACAATGTTCATAAATATCATGAATTAAATATATAGGTTACATTTAAAGTAGCATTTTCCTCTAAACTCCGTCACCACTGCTCGCCCTTTACTTAGAAAGAAACATAATTTTAAAAAAGAAAAACGTCTGTCACTGCATATTATCCATAATATTTCTGCTGGTTATTTTTGTCTGTTAAAAGTACAGCAT